AGTTAGGCAGGAACGGTCTTTCCTGAACCCATGCTGATTGTCATTAACTATCCCGTTTTCCTGAACAAATTCTACCAGATAATCCTTTATTATGCCCTCTAGCATTTTACAAACTACCGATATTAGACTGACCGGCCTATAGTTCCCAGGTTGGCACCTTGCCCCCTTTTTGAATATTGGGACTACCGTAGCCCTCCGCCAATCACAGGGGATCCTACCAGTCATTAGGGAGTCCTTAAAAATGAGGATTAATGGTCTAGTTATAACCTGTTGATTTATATATATATAATGTTGATTTAAATTATCGTTCGTTAGCAATACTAACTCGCCAAATTTTAGTCGATTCACAGAACGGATTTTCGTTTGCACATGTGCAGTGTTCTTGTTGCGATTTTTGCTGTACGAAAACGCCACTAATCCATCTTTTTTGGTGCGATACGAAAAAAGTTTTCTAGCCTGACCGATTGAGGAAATTCCACCCAGGAGTACAGTAAAAAAAATTATAATTGGGTTCCCATCAACTGATCGATTACCGTACAAATGATAATCGATAGGTATAGGGGCGCCTTCAGGCTAAGGTGCCAAGCAGCTTTTGAGCATTTTATTTATAAATACTTGTTTCTTTTGTATGTTTTTGTTGTTTTGTTTTTCCAAATACCCAATATAGACACGCTTCCAAGTGTATAAATAGCTTATTTTTATTTTTTAATTGGACTATATAGGAGCCAGTCTGTCCTCACAGCCATCAAGGGATGCCAAGCCTTTGTACTTCCATTGACAACAATATAAATGGCTCAGAAAAGCTTTTTTTGTAATGCTGATTGGATACCTGGCCCCGGAGGATTTGTCTAGTTCTGGTTTACATTATCACCCGCTGTGTTGAGCCCTCTTTTCTCTCCTGCAATACACAGTGTGACCGCAGAGTGGCACCATCAGCGCTCTAGATACCAAAGTGACATTAGTCCCCATTCACACTGAGCGACATGGGTAATCGCTAGTTTTACCACGCGATCGTCATGCGCGACTTGTCGCGCTTCGTCGCACTACTTTTCGTAGCTGTTACATTGGGCTGTAAGCAATCAAGAGCAAAATTGCACGACATCCGCGTAAAAAAGGGTCGCGGACAAGCTACAGCGACGAGCTACAGGCGACATTGAGCTGTAAAATGTGAACAGCTCCATATCGCGCGGAAATATGCACGATTTTTGGTGCGGAAATGCGTGCGATAAACCGCTCAGTGTGAACAGGGACTTAGTGACCAAGGAGAGAAGATGAAAGGCCATGGAAAAATCATTTAATGACTTTAGCAAATTATTTGTGTCATGTTCATCTATTTTAGCTTTTTGTAACCGAACTTTCACTATATTTACACACTCTGTGTTTCAGGCCCAGCAGCTGCCGGCCCCAATTACCAGCGCCTCTCGTATGCAGATAAATCAGCATCAGCTCTATATTCTGAAGGATTGCACACCTCAAACGTAAGTCTGCGAGAACTATGCGGTTTACATTGAATCTTGTGATTTTGAGTCGTCGTAGGTGGACTGATTCTTTTTAAAACTCCAATTTCTGTGTGCACGTTTTTGATATTTGGCGTGCCTCTGCTGTTGTCTAATCATTATCAGGTATGCATAGCTACTAGGGATGCACCGATATATCGGCCACCAAAACATATACGCCGAAAATGGCACTTTTGGCTAAATGCCGAAAGTGCAATTTTCCTGCCGATACATCGGCGCATTCCAGGTTTCTTTCCTCCCCGCTGGGCGCTGCTCTGTGTCCCAGCGGGGAAGAGAGAAAGTGACAGCCGGCTGAGCGCTGCGAGAGGAGAGCGCCGTGAGCGGCCGGTGTCTCTCCTCCCACAACGCTCAGCTGCCTATCACAGTCCGGCAGAGCGGTGTGGGGGCGGAGACAGCCCACGCTGTCACAGGAGGCTGAGCTCTCCTCCCTGCTCCACTCGTTCAGCCTCCTGTGACAGCTGTCAGAGAGGAGAGCGGTACAAACACTCAGTGATCGCTGAGTGTTTGTAGATAATTGTGGACGTGGTATGTGTACTATATCCTCAATTATGAATGAATGGGAAGTGTTCTACATCACCTCCTGTTCTTTCATAGTTGTAGTTATAGTAAATATACAATGCCCTCATGTTATCAATGAACAAGAACACTCAGTATAGAGGATTCCTGTTCATAGAATAAAAACATTTTCGGTTTTGGCCTCACAATTTTTTTTATTTCGGTTTCGTTTTTTAAATTTCTATTTCGGTGCACCTCTAATAGCGACATAGTTTTAAGTAGGATGAAAAAATGCGAATGCTTTTTAGGTACAACCTTTTCCAGTGTGGGATTGGAATAACAGAAACACTTTTAGTGTATCTCTGCAATGTGTGCACATTTCCCCATGTTCTAACCACTAAGTACTGAAAAATAACTAGATCAGCCAGAATCCTGAGTGTGCCTAACTTCCTGTTTGAGCTGACAACAGTGCTTATGATTTTAGTTCAGAAGGAGCACTGAGTTGTCTAGTCCTGCCTCCTGAACTGCAGAACATCACCTATTCCTGTCCCTGTCCTTATGCATACATTGATTTGTGACCCATAACAACAATGCTGCTGTCTTGATTACCCAAAGCCTGCTTCAATTTAGGGGTTTGCTTCCTTATGTCAAAGCTGCACTTTTGATCAGATGATTGGTGGGGAAATAGTACCAAAATGAATGAAGCAGAAAGATTCTTGCACTGCAGCTATAGCTTCCTCTCCAGCAAGCAGCACAGGGGTGACATCGGAAAATCTCAAACAGAGGAAGCAGTGCCTTAGAGGAGTTCCGGTCACAGAACTAATTATTTTTGTATCTTGGTTGTAGGGCTGGTCGTGGACTGGTGATTGGTTTTCTGAAGGTTGGATATAAGAAGCTATTTGTGCTGGTGAGATATATATTATTGGATATAAATATTCATTTCGAATGGGCTGAAACGCATGTGTTGCAGTGCAGTGTAGTTTGCATGAGTTCATACAGCCCATCTCCAGGCTGTTGTTAAATTTACCCATGCAGTGCCCAATTCCCCCCCCCCACTACTTGGGGGGAGGAATATGTACAAATATTTACCTTGACCTTAGTCCTCGATCCCCTGGCAGCCCGTGCTCTCCTCTGCTGTCTGATGCTCCGGATTGTGGGTGGGCCATTGCCGTCCTCCCATATAATACAGTACAGCTGGTCCAGCATTGTATGTGATGACGTCAAAGATCTACAACTGGCTGGGCACAGAAGTGAAGTGACTTCAGACAATCGGTTCCATGAAGACAAGGAAGCACGTGGGAACAGGGAATAAGGTATTTGTACTTTCCTGTTTCCAGTGCAGCATGGGTGCATTTAAAGCAGCCTGGAGTGGGGCTTGAAGCAGACCTGGCAGGGCAAAGCAAAAGGTTTTCTTTAATGAAGCTCTCTTCAAGAGAGCATACTCACCTTTCCTATGTACCACCACTGCTCCATTTACAGTATAATATATATCGGTACCATGTGACTCACCTCCTATTCCTGAGTGATTTTTACAGAGCTGTAACACAGAGACAGGGAGTGACTGTAAGCTCCAACTAGAGCGACCCTGAGCTTACACACAGCAATCAGCTGAACACAAGTGTGGGGAGGAAAGGAGAGGGGCATTAAAGAGAACCGGTTTCTTTTGCCTGTATAAGCAAGCCACAGGATTACTCTAAGGTTGTTTATGAAGGAACAGAGAAATATGGCCTGCCTACGTGAGGTTGGGGACTGTAAAATTGGCTTCACCTTGCTACTGAATCTTTACAGCACACAGTTGCTCTTTTGGCTGACCCTCTCAAAAGTTCTTCATAGAAACAACACAAAAGTGGTTTTGCCTTTCCAACTTTATTTATGTGTTCCAGTTTTCTTTCCATCTTTTTAGGACCACAAAGGCTCCCATATTGAAGCAGAACCTCTGTGCATTCTTGATTTCTATATCCATGAATCTCTCCAGCGTCACGGCTTTGGGAAGGAGGTTTTCAACTTCATGCTCCGTGTAAGGACTCACACTTTGTGTGTTCCCTGTGCTTTATATCTTGTTTAATCTGTGTTGGTAATTTTATCACTTCTGGGCAGGGCTGCCGATGGAGTACAGGCAGGCCTCCCATACCAGGCTTGGACCCTATGGAGTCAGTGGGGGGACCACAAAATCCAGCATGATCTGCTTGTGGGCAGCCCCAGTGCAGCATCCGGTAGTCTGTACTGGCGGACACTCTGCCAACTCATCTGTGCAACTGTCTGCACGCATTGCCTGCCTTGAAACACCACCAACTAATACCTGCTAATTGCTAGCCACTGCCACAACGAGCTGGCCAATTGGTGCATGCTGGGGTGTGTGGCTTCCAAATCCCTATCTTTCACCGCTGCAGTTTCTCAATCCTTCCCTTTCCTTTGCTGTTGGAGCCAAGGAGCATATCTGTGAAGTATACCATCAGCCAAGGAAGCACAGGGGAAAAGTGCTTGGAGAGTGAAATAGAGTAAAACACGCAAGGGTAAAAAAATAACAGCAGGGACTTCACTTTACAGGCACTTGCTGGGTTCCAGTGCCGTATTCTGGCTGAAGCTGGGCCTAGCCTGTACTGGAGTGGTTGTGGATGGTTGGTACAGGGTGAGAAGTAGTGCAGTGTTGGGTAAGGGGACTGTGCGGGGAAAGGGACCACAGGAAGGCAGCTAGGGGTGGGCTGCACATCTCAGGCCCTCCTGGCCTATCGCCTAAGACTTTTAGGACCACAGCAGCTTGAGACCACAGGCCCCCTCCTCAAGTGCCCTGACTTACAAATTGCCAGTCTGTTCATTTCCACAACACACAGGGTGCAGGCATTAACAAGGATCTGTTGCAAATAAATGTGAACCCTAACTGTTTGCTAAAGTGCTGTGTATCATACACAAATTGCCATTTTCTTTCTCCAAAAATACTTTTTTTGATCAATTTTTTGCATCTTTCTTGTGCCAGTCGGAGCAAATGGAGCCTCAACATTTGGCCATTGATCGTCCTTCTGAGAAGTTTCTATCATTCCTGAGGAAACATTACAACCTTCGCTCCACTATCCCACAGGTGAGAGGATGATATGAAAGGTTTACTACTAGACTATGCAGGGAAGGAGGGCACAGGTTGGACAGCCAACAAAAATTGGTCCGCTAATTCTCAGTTTCTAGAAATCGGCATGTTTGCTCGTACCTTTTTGCAGCCGTAATTTCATATTGTCATTTTTCCGAACTATCAGCTTTTATTTAGCTCTATTTGTGTCTTAAGCTGGCCATACACTGTTCTATTTTTTTCAGCCAACCCACGGGCTGAACGCAAAAAATAGAACAGAGGCCTTTCTCAATGCTTACAAGCATTGGTCGAGGAATCCCCGCTGTTTGCTATGTATTCTGACAGTGGGTGCCGGCCGCTGTCAGAATACCTGAACAGAGCCAGCAGCTTATTTTTTTGTTCAAAGATTTTCCGACTGGCTTCTTCTATCAGCTGTTTAAGGGATGCTGGCTGTTAGGGTGCTGACAGTTGCAGCCACTGTGCGAATTTCATACAGTTCTTGAAGAACTAGCCGAAATTCACATAATGTATGGCTTGAGTCAGGGGTCAGAGGTCCAGTGAAGATTGGTTCTCTCTATTTTGTTTTTGTTTTTATTGCATTTCATTTTTTTCTCAGTTTTTTTTAACTCTATATATGAATAATAATTGTGTAAAGTTTTTTTTTTTTT